AGGTGTTCCTAATAATCCTTTAGGTGAGTGTATATATTGGTGAGATAATCTACCAAGAGGACCGACATGACCATTATCATACCCTGCGCCACCTGTTTGCGGGCAGTGAGTGATGGTGCTGTAAAAGCCGCCTCACTCCCGCTGACCTCCATCGGCCTTCCCCCGCACGCGTGCCCTCAAATGGCAGAAATACACCGAGCCCCTTTCATCTCCTGTCCATTAAAGCAACCTTACATTTCTCACGCGTCGTAAAACAAGCTTCTCCCTAGTTAAGCACCATAAACCATCGACAGGAATAAAACAAAAATGGCTGAACATTTTTCTCTAGCCTATCTGAACGCTTGGAGCAAAGCTCACATGGTTACAAAACAGAATCTTGCAAATTTTTTATGATTCTTCAAAGAGCAAAATAACATTAATCTATTCCATGCATTGTATCCAATTTTAGTAAGGACCAATCAGCTGTGTAGAACAGGGTCATTTGATAATGCAGTGTAAGGAAAGGCATATGGATGACAATGAGCTTTGTTTTCAGGCTTGGCTGCTCATTGTTAGCTTGCTGGATGGACCAGGCTCTTTCCCCCTGGATGAACTTCCTTTCTCAGTCCGGTCACCCTGGCCGTTCCAGAATTTTCCATTCTGTGCCGAGTGAAATCCAGGCCTGGCGTGGCTCCTGCTTCCCCTTGTTCCGTTAATGACCAGTCAGCTAAAGACCAGCTACTGAAGGCTGGATCGGTCTCATCGCTGCATAGCGGCTGACGTTCTGGCCGCTACTCACAGTCAAATTTGTATCACTAAACTTCAATAACGGAGTGTTGTTTTCTCCCTCGTCTTTTATGTCCACCCGTTTGCCATCTCCATTCGTTATCTGCCCATGTGATTACCCCCCCCCATAAAGGACAGAATTCGGTGCATTAAACGAGCCACAGCTTGGCGCTGAGAGCGGCTGCCCCGCAGTCTCACTGCTCACTGCCCGCTGCTGCCCCGCAGTCTCACTGCCCGCTGCTGCACAAATGCCCAGCCCCAGAAGAGCGAGATGCCCCAGAGCCGGAGCTGCCAGCCGCCTCGTAACGCCTCCTAAAACCCGGCATGTTCCAGCAGGTGCGTAGGTCCCTTTGCCTGCGGGGGAGGATCAGAGAGGGCAGCGGGATGGACCGAGAGCGCATCCATGTTCGGGGCTTACCCATCAAGCCTCCTCTTCCCATTAAGCCAGACCACAAAATCCTTTCAGACTGGGAATTCCACTGGTTGGTGAGCCGTCCAGCCCTCCAGCCTTTGATCCTCACACCCCCACCAACAACCTGCTCCTGGGACTCATGATCCTACTAAAATTGTACGTCCACCAAATAAATAAAAATGCAAATAAAGTGTCATTAGAGTAATTCATTAAAAGGTCATTTGTTTCTACAATCTTTCTTCTGATTCGCAGTCTGCTGTTGTTTTTTGTGCCTTTTTTGACCCTGCATTGTCAAAACAGAAATTATGTACGACGCTTTGGATAAAAGCGTCTGCTACTTAAATTAAATGTACCGTAAATGGTGGAGAGCTACCTAGAAGGTGGACGAACTTAAACAGCTACGAGGAAATGAGCAAACTATCCGAATCCGCTTCAGATGCTTCTCTCGGTGGAGTGGAGTTCGAATTCTCTCACAAAACA